AAGAGATTACAAATATTTCATTTAACTAAATAGCTCAAAATCGATTCATGTAAATTTTACAAATAAAAACGTCAACCACAAACCAGTCTTTATCGATGAAATTGAGATTCCACACGAGAACACCGCTAAATACTTGGGAATGACCCTAGACGCAAAGCTTCGTTGGAAAGCGCATGTTAAGAAGAAAAAGGATGAGCTAGAGTTAAAGTTTAGAAAAATGGATTGGCTAATTGGGAGAAAATCTAACCTTTCAGTCCATAATAAGCTAATTGTCTATAAACAAATTCTAAAGCCAGTATGGAGCTATGGCATCCAGATATGGGGATGCGCTAAAAACGATGTTATTAAAATTATACAAAGATTTCAAAACAAAATCCTAAGGACCATCCTGAATGCCCCATGGTACGTTAGAAACTCTGATATCCATAGAGATCTCAACATGAACACAGTAACAGAGGAAATTATTATGAAAGCAGAACAACATAGGCGTAAACTTATACTCCACCCAAATGAAGAAATAGCGTCCTTATTAAGAACCACAAATGTAGTAAGACGACTAAACAGATGCCAACCTCATGACCTCATCAGGCGTTTCAACCAGCATAATGTTTTATAAAATATTTGAATTGCTGTTAATACTAAATTATATGTTTAAATAATTAGCCTCAAACTGCTAGTTAGTCTATTTTGACTAGTCGCAGTATTTTAAGAAAAATTGTATATGTCAATTTATACCTTTTTAAATAAAAAAAAAAAAAAAAAAAAAATTAAATTAAATTAGGATTTTGAAAAACATTTATAGATTAGATTTCCATTAGAATAATTTAGCCATCATGAATGTGTCTTCTATATTTTATAACATTTGTACTTGTTAAATAATAATGGACATTTTTCCAGACATTTTAATTCAATCAAAAGTAATTTAAGTTATTCAAAAACCCATTGCACTAACTCGCATATGATATAAAATTATTTCACTACATTCCTCACTACACCAAGCTGATCCACATGAAACTGGCGCAATAATCTACAGATCCTCTTGATGACATAAATTTTGGTTGATTTAAAAAACGGATGATAATACGATTCATATTAACTAACTTACAAATTTTTTAACTTACTACCCAACTAGCTTATAACCTTGTTTACTTACTAACTTACTTACTAACTTACGTACACTTACTAACTTACTAACTTACTAACTTACTAACTTACTAACTTACTAACTTACTAACTTACTAACTTACTAACTTACTACTTACTAACTTACTAACTTACTAACTACTAACTTACTAACTTACTAACTTACTAACTTACTAACTTACTAACTTACTACTTACTAACTTACTAACTTACTAACTTACTACATACTAACTTACTAACTTACTAACTTACCAACTTACTAACTGACTAACTTACTAACTTTCTAACTTACTAACTTACTAACTTACCAACTTACTAACTGACTAACTTACTAACCTTCTAACTTACTAACTTACTAACTTACTAACTTACTAACTTACAAACTACAAACTTACACTTACTAACTTACTAACTTACTACTTACTAACTTACTAACTTACTAACTTACTAACTTACTAACTTACTAACTTACTAACTTACTAACTTACTAACTACTAACTTACTAACTTACTAACTTACTAACTTACTAACTTACTAACTTACTACTTACTTACTTACTAACTTACTAACTTACAACTTACTAACTTACTAACTTACTAACTTACTAACTTACTACTTAGTAACTTACTAACTTACTAACTTACTAACTTAGTAACTTACTAACTTACTAACTTACTAACTTACTAACTTACTAACTTACTAACTTACTAACTTCCTAACTTCCTAACTTACCAACTTACTAATTTACTAATTTACTAACTTACTAACATACTTACTTACTAGCTTACTAACTACTAAATTACAAATCTACCCTGAGAGCAATATACACAAATCAAAAACTTTAAACTGTATAACCAGGAACTTAAAAGGATAATTTATTTAAGAAGTGTTTTTATTTGTGTTGATCCATTTATAGGCCGATGTTTGAGAGTATGCATTTACCCTATCATTCCTTATTTAAAGTAGTCACAAATGTAAATTTAAGAAGTTACAAATTAAATGACAAACGTATATGTTTCCTTATCCTGTTTTATAGTACGTTATAAAACGAAAACAAAAAACTTTCTTCAATTCAATTAAAAACAACTTTTCCTTGTATATTATTGCTCTGCACTTACAAATCATCATCATCATCCAGTCCTTGCTGTATGTGGAAGAACAAGTTTCGTTTTTATGATCAAAAGGGCTTTAGAGACTTTTTAAAGTTTATTTTGTATTTCATTTCATTTCATTTCATTTATTTACTTATTTTATTTCCAAATGCAATATAAATCATTTTAAATTAAATTTTATACACTTTCTTACTTTCGGCTTACAGTTGAGGACTAGGTTCATATAAATGTCTGCAGTAGTAAACGATGTTTTTGTTGTTTCTGTTGGTGTTTTTGCATTTTGTTTTATAAACGTTAAAGCCAACCACCTTGCATTTATTTATGTACATAAAAGTATGAGTGATTTTATTTTTGCAGTTTAAACCTCTTGGCAAGAAATATACGAACAACAACATTTTACTACATACAAGTAAATACATATACAAAGTGGATGCATACTATACCACAAAAAAAGCAGACATTTAAAATAAACATACAAATACGTATACATATACTCATACACGTTGCAAGTATGTGAGCTGTGTTATAGGTTTCCACTGGCAGACAGACAGACTTAAGACATTGTTAAGAAAAACACAAGTAATAGCTTATGAAAAGTTTATTTTATTTTGTTTTCCTTGAGAGATTTTTTCATACATATAAAATGTTTTACATGTGTTGTTATCACAGCAAAAATAATAACAACAATTGCAGGAACAGTAGCTGATATAGTAGTGCCAGCAACAGCAATAACAACGGCATCAGCAACAATAACAACGTTAACAATATGAACTGACTTAAGTTGTCTGTCTAGTATTTTAGCTTAACAACAAAACAACAGCAACAATAATAACAACAACGGTATTTTGCATTTACTTTATGCCAAAATATTCAAGGAATACAGACAGGTATTGTATCAGACCAAGTACATTTATAATTATATATGTATGTGTGGCATGTCCTTGCATGCCTGCACTGTATTATATATTTATAATATGTATGATGCATTATTTCCCCTAAGGAAATATGTTGCTAAAGGAATACTAAATATGAAATTGCACTGCACAGGTGCAGGCCTAAAACGACTTTAGTTAACCTGTCATTAAAAATAAGATTCAAATAATCTTCATAGACAATGTTGTATAAAATATATAATTATACGAAATTTTCTTATGGTTATGCAAGTCAATTCATTAATCATGTTTTTATTAATAACTATTGATTAGATTTACAATTAAACATTAATACTAAATAGATCAAATGTTGAAAACTTGAAGGAAAGGCAATGAAAGCTTTAGGAGTTTAGTTATAATAATTAAACAGATAAATAATAGGTGTATTTTCGACTTGACGAACAGTTTTGAAAGCTTTAGGAGTTTAGTTATAATAATTAAACAGATAAATAATAGGTGTGTTTTTGACTAGTCGAACAGTTTTGTTTTAATTTGCTTAAAGTTGCCACCATAATATAACCACACACTCTTGCAAATTAACTTTTTTGATCCCTAATTTTCTATAAGATTCCTAAAAGTTTTATAAGAAAATCTTTCTAAAACAGTGCACTGTTTTACAAAATAAGCTTTTCACAAAAGCATTTTATAAGAAATGCTTTAAAAAGCTTTCCCAAAAGACAATTAAATAAAATACTTAATATATTTTTTTAAAACAAAATACTTCATAAGAGCTTCTTAAGCTTTTAAACATTTTAAAATATAAAATCTTCATAAAAGCCAAAATTTTATAAGCTCCTTAAAAGATTTTTTAGAAACTTTTTTAAAGATTATTTTTTGTAACCTTTCAAAAGAAAAAGCTTTTATACGTTTAAAAAATCTTTTGTAAGTGTTTTAAAAGAAAAGCTTTTGTAAGTTTTTAAAAGAAAAGCTTCTGTAAGTTTTTAAAAGAAAAGCTTCTGTAAGTTTTTTTATAAAATAGCTTTTGTAAGTTAAAAAAAAATTAAGTTTTTTAAAAGAAAAGCTTTTGTAAGCTTTTTTTAAAGAAAGGCTTTTGTAAGTTTTTTAAAAGAAAACTTTTGTAAGTTTTTTAAAAGAAAATCTTCTGTAAGTTTTTTTTAAATCGCTTTTGTAAGTTTTAAAAAAAGCTTTTGTAAGCTTTTTAAAGAAAAGCTTTTGTAAGTTAAAAAAAGCTTTTGTAAGCTTTTTAAAGAAAGGCTTTTGTAAGTTTTTTAAAAGAAAAGCTTTTTTAAGTTTTTTTTTTAAATAGCTTTTGTAAGTTTTAAAAAAAGCTTTTGTAAGTTTAAAAAAAAGCTTTTATAATTTTTTTAAAGAAAAGCTTTTGTAAGTTTTTAAAAAGAAAAGCTTTTGTAACCTCTTTGAATAAAAAGCTTTTGTAAGCTCTTTTAAAGAAAAGCTTTTGTAAGCTTTTTAAAGAAAAAACTTTTTAAAATAAAATTTTTTAGAAGCGTTTTAAATGTTATTTATAAGCTTTTTAAACGAAAAACTTTTAAAAGATGTTTCAAAGAAAAGCTTTTTAAATGTAAAGGAAAACGAGTTCCTTTTATAAAAAAAACTTTTTGAGAAAAGATATAACTTTTTGTATGAAAAATATAAAAAAAAAACACTTTTTAAAATAAACGTTGTTTACATTGACTAATAACATACTGTTGGCGTATGATGAATATTTGTATTAGCTTTCCAATTAATAATCATACTTAGTGATGTGCAATTTTTTTCAATTAAAAAAAAATTATAAATTAATTGAATATTGCAGTATTATTAACATGTATATTTTTAATAAAAAAATAATTACCAAAGTAATCAGCTTACATAATGATCAACATCCTGTAAAGAGAAATAAGAAGAATATTATTAAAATTTATATAATTCTTATACACAAAACAAAAATTAGTTTTAAATTTTTCTTTATAATCAACAAACACACAAAAAACCCCTTTAATACCCCCACAAAGATTAAAATTTTTTTACAAATGTACAACACATACACACATAAAAGAAGACTATAAACAATTTGACTATTAAATCTCTATGGATTTTTTTGTTTGTTAGTATTTTAAATCCTGTATACTTTAATATCCTGGATTTTAGTATTTTAAGCTGCTCCTGGACATCAAAACAACAACAACAAAAAAATGGTCGCAAACAAAAAATGAAACCTACTTTGATGGTCGTCAACAAGGACTAAACGAAAAAAAGAGATTTTTAAATGAGTTGACATGTTTTGCTTTTATAGCAGCGTTTATTTTTCACAAGTGTTTGTAGTGACAAGTTTTTTTCCTCCTTTTTTTGTATTATAGTAATTTTGTTTTATAAATAAAAAATGTAGTTTTTTTGTTAATTTTATATGTATATTTACTAGTATATGAATTTTTCGTTGAAATCCTTTTAACAGCCACTTTGTAGTTTAATTTTTAAATAAATCCTTGCAATTTTTGTTACAGAAATCTTATGAAACCCAGCAACAAAACTATTTGGTTAAGTTTTTTTTATATACAATTTTGCCTTTTGTTCTTTTTGCTGCTGCAGAGGCAAAATTTTATTTTCATTGTAGTTTGTGCTACCTTTAAAAAATCTCCTTATACTTCTTGTAAATTTCAGAAATAGTTAATGTTGCTTTTTTTTGTTGCTGCTATAGCTTTAGCTAAAGCTATAAACTGTATGCTTTATATAGAGCTGCAAAAACAAACAACAACAAAACTAGTTTTTATATTCCAGATTTGTGGGTTTTGTGTCTTTTAAACTTTGTATGCCACCGGCAACAGAAACGCCAAGGATGCAGCAGCAACGATTTTTTAGTCTACAACTCAGTATCTCTGGGGTTTACATACAATATACTACATACATATGTATCTATGAACGCGATTGTATGTGTTTTCAGTATTTTAAGGTGATTTTTGTTTTAGTGATTTTTTTCCATTTTCACTACATTTTGCATTCAGTTTCTGTATATAAATGTATGATACAAATATTATACTTTATGATTTTTGGTTGCATGTCCCTAGATGTTTTATTATAAAAATATAGTACGTTTTTTATATCTCACTATTGTTACCGCTACTATTTCCTCTTGTACGATTACTAAGTACCCATAGACTGCAAACACAGGAACAGTAGCAATAGCACTAGCTTAAAATATTTGTAGTCATTTTAGAAATATCGCACTATGGGTTCATAGAACAAAAGCTTTAAGGAAAAAGAGAGATAATTTCCCAAAGCGAACTGATAAGTTTAAAATTTAACGAATTTATCAAAATGTTAGGGGCGTATGATTAATATTATTTTGCACTTTTGCTGATATTAATCATACTTTTGTTAGATTTATTTTCTATAAGGCTTTTGGAAAACGCAAATTCGTGTTTAGAAGCCTTTTCTCGAAATCGCTTCTAACGAAAGCTTTTCTTAAAATCGCCTTTTATAACAGAATACTTTCCCGAAAGAAATTGTTTTTTGGAGAACCTGTTTCTAAAAGCTTTTCGGAGAATTGTTCCATATAAGAATATATTTTCAGTAAAAAGCTTTTTATAAGAAAAGCTCTTCAAAAAACGCTTTTGGTTAGAAATGCTCTTTTGCAAAAGCTCTTTATAAATGATTTTTTCATACAAAATATTAAAATTTTTCATACAAAGAAAAAGTTTTTTGTAAAAGCTCAATAAAAATGTTTTAAGAAGCTTCATAAAAGAAAAACCTTTTTCAGTTTAAGGAAATGTGAACAGTTCAAGGAAATGTGTTTTGTAATAAAACGCTTTTAAAGAAGGATTCTTTTTAGAAAATCTTTTAAATTACAAAAGTTGTTTATAAAAAAAACTTTTTAACGAAAAGCTAAAAAAGCTCTTTAAACTTTTTTTAAAGAGCTTTTCTTATAAAAACTGATTCACAAAAAGCTATTTCTTTCCGAAAAATATTCCGTTTATAAGAAAAGCTCTTTTATAGAAAAGATGCTGAAAAAAAAAAAATTTCTCAAAATATCTTTCCATAATAAAGTCTGTTTATAACAAAAGCTTTTCGGAGAAATGTTGCTTATAAGAATATATTTTCAATAAACAGCTTTTTATAAGATAAGCTCTTCAAAAAACCGCTTTTGGTAAGAAATGCTCTTTTGAAAAAGCTCTTTATAAATGATTTTTTTCATACAAAATATTAAAAGCAAAACATTAAAAGAAGAAGTTTTTTATGAAAGCTCATTAAAAATGATTTTAAAGAGTTTCATAAAAGAAAAACTTTTCAGGAACTGTTCAAAGAAATGTGTTTTGTATTAAAACGCTTTTAAAGAAAGATTCTTTTCAGAAAAGCTTTTAAATTACAAAAGCTGTTTATAACAAAAGCTTTTCAACGAAAAGTTCCTCATTAGAATATATTGCTAATAAAAAAGTTATTAATAAGAAAAGTTTTTCAAAAAATCTTTTTATAAGAAAAGTTTTTAAAAAAAAAGCTTTTTATAAGAAAAGTTTTTCAAAAAAGCTTTTGAAAAAAAAACTTTTTAATAGAAAATTCTATTTAAAGAATTGGTTAAATAAGCGTTTAAAGAAAAAAATATGTTTATTACAAAAACCTACAAAAGAAAGTAAAGTTCTTAAAAAAGTGTTTTATAAAAAAACTTTCCAAAAGCAGATTGAGAAAGGCTACTCCAAAGTTGTTTTTTTTTTTTATTTGTTATTTGTAGAATAGTATTTGTTATTTTTAGAATAGTCCATCTGGAAACGCTTGCAAAAAGCTTTCCCATCCATAGTGCTGTGGCGTTGAAACAGCAGTGTGACAACAACAAACAATCTACATTTATTTATATCCTGTCGCAAAACACAACTCATGCATGATAATGAATTTCAGTGTTTCAAAATCAGTTCGCTTTTTTCCCTTACTTTTTTCAATTTTTTTTTTTTTTTTGTTTATTTATTTTTAGATTTTCTATTTTTATACACAATATTTTTTTGTTCTAAAATAAATATGAAAAAGTACAATAACAACAACATTGATTATATAAACAAATACTTGTAAAAGTTTTTAATGTTTTTTCTGTGATTTGTATTTTAAAACAACGACACAGTGTTGAGTGAATTTTTTTTTTGTTTTAAGTTAAATCTCTAAATGCTACAACAAAACTAATTTGTGTATTTTTAATATAAATTCCTAGAGATTTGAAAAAAATTGTGTATAATTTAAAAACAAATAAAGGGGAAAAATAATAAAATTACTAAAAAAAAAGAAAATAAATAATTTTTAGCCATTTTTTCTGTTAATTTTTAAATTTTATTTTTCTCTATAAGTTGTTGTTTCTTGTCCTTTGAGGTAATTTTCTTTGATAACAAACATTGAGGTTTTTTTTAACAAATCACTGCTACTCAAATTCAAAACATGCCCTGCCAAGTGGCATATTATTTTAACATTTAAGTTTATTTTTTTACAGTTTGGAAAAGATGTTTTGAACAATAATGGCAGCAGTCAGCTTGAACAAAAAAAAGGCGAATATACAAATAGCCGCCATCAACATTATAACACACAAAAACTCGACCAGACTTTAGATTTCAATACTGTTTTTTTCTTCCTTCTAAAAACTGCTTTATATTATTCAGCTCACAATGACCAACAAAAAAATAACGTAAATGTTGGTTGATAAACTTCTGTTTTTATAAAAATGTGAAGAAAAAAACAAACAAAAATTAAGAAGGAAAATAATAATAACGACAGCAAATAAGATTCGAAAATAAAAGCCAAAATAAGGTTGAACAGTAGGAAAAAACAAAGAAATAAAGTCAACACTGTATCTAAAAAATCACACTTGAAATAAGTGCATTATTATACTTGCCAAAACCTGTCGTTTATTTTTATACTTATTTTGTTCAATTTATTTTGGTCGATTCCTTCCCTTACCCTTTTAAGCTAAATTTAAGAAAAAAATAGTGAAAAAAGGTTTTTTATTCCCTTTATATTTTATTCAATTCTTGCATTGTTGGTTAAAAGAACATCATGGTTAAAATACGAAAAAAATGGTTAGTATATTGTGAGCTTTGGTTCATTGACTCTAAAATTTATGAGGTTTTTTTCGGTAACTTTTTTCTCCTTTTGCAGAGTCCTTTTTTTTATTTTGCCAACATAAATGTTTGTTTTCAACATTAAAGCAATATTTTGTATTTGGAAAATTATTTTGTGTAACATAATGACACCGTGTGCTATTGACAGTAAATTCAAAGGCCATTAAGTGAAAAAGTGAAGAAGAAAACCTTTTTTTTTTTTTTTTTGTGGGGACCACTAAAATAAAATCCAAACTGAATGATGCTTTAATTTAAAGTGTAAAAGATGTGTAACAATATGCAAAGTGTTTCATTTTATTTTAGTTTTCAAACAAAACTTAATTTTTGAACATGATTAGCTCGTTTGTAATTTTTTCACTAAAAATTGTAAATCACATCAAAAATTCAAAGAAATAATTTAAAAGGGTTTTATAGAAAAGCTTAAAAAAATACTTTATATATAAAAGCTTTGTATAAAAATACATAAACATTATTTTATAAAGCTTAAAAGCAATTTTAAAGAGAAACTTAAAAAAGCTTTTTAATAAAAGCAAACAAAAGCTATTTGTATAAAACCTAGACAACTTTTTATATAAAAGCTTTAAAATTGTTTTATCAAAAAGCTTAAAAGAAAATTTTATAGAAATGCTTAAAAAAATTTTAATATAATAGCTTTAAAACATTTTATTGAAAACTTTGAAAGCTTTTTAAAACATCTTGAAAAAAGTTTTTTATAGAATGATCGAGAAATCTTTTGACCGAAAAGCTTTACAGAAAGCTTTTTATAGAAAGGTTTAAAATAAAGCTATATACAAGATTA